CCTGTATCTTCCATGAGTGTGTTTTCATTATCTATTTTCCTTTTGATATTTGGTCATGCAGTCATGTCTCTTGGTATACTTGGTAATTTTTGTGCATGATAATTTGAAGAAGTAATTTGAGGCTCAGAATAGTGTTATTTTCCTTCAGAGAAGATACACATTTGCTTCTGGCAAATTCTGACAGGGGCAGATCACTTTCATCTAAGCAGGGATTAAGCAGATTAGAAGCTGAGTTTCAATCTTTATACAGGCTGATCTATACCCACCATACTCCTTCTAGATTGAAACTCTTAGGGAGTCCCAATGAAAAGTCTGGGGTATTTACCAAGGCCCTTCGTGCTGATGGGTCCTGGACTCCAGTTTTTGTCCCTTCAGTCTTGTAAAATTGCTGGGATCTCAGCTAGCCTCTTCTCAGTCATTGCTTGCAGCTCAGCTTCTTAACCACTGCTTGCAACTTAGCAAATGCTTTGAGGGAAAAAGCAATGCTAAATGTCAGGCTCATCTCTTTATGCTTCCCTTGTCTATGATTCTAAGCTTTTTTTTTTTAAAGATTTTATTTATTTATTTGACAGAGAGAGACATAGCGAGAGCAGGAACACAAGCCGGGGGAGTGGGAGAGGGAGAAGCAGGCTTCCTGCAGAGCAGGGAGCTCGATGCGGGACTCGATCCCAGGACCCTGGGATCATGACCTGAGCCGAAGGCAGACGCTTAACGACTGAGCCACCCAGGCGCCCATGATTCTAAGCTTCTTAAGTCCTTACTGCCTTGGCAGCTTCTGATACCTTCAAGCAGCTGTTTTTTATATTTGGTCTAACTTTTCAGGCTGTTCTCAGAGGGATGGGTGGTGTTTAATAAGCTGGTCCATTAATTTCCGAAGCATAAATCCCCAGGTATTATAATCTTAGGGTCTGTTATGGATTGCACTGTGCATTTCTCCTCCCACCCCCCAAGATATGTTGAAGTCCTAACCGCCAGTACCTTGGGATGTGATCTTATTTGGAAATACATAGGTCATCTAGTTAGAATGAGGTCCTAATCCAACATGACTGGAACCCTCATTAAAAAAAAAAAAGGAGATTTGAACATAGTCACAGACACACACAGTGGGAAGATGATGTGAAGACACAAAGGGAGAAGACAGCCATGTAACTGGAGTGGTTCATCTACAAGCCAAGGAATGCCTGGAGCTACCAAAAGTTAGGAGAAAGGCATGGAACAGTTTCTGGAGCCTTTAGAGCATGGCCCTGCTGACACCTTGATTTTGACTTCTGACCTCCAGAACTATAAGACAATACCTTTGTGTTGTTTTAAGCCACTCAGTTTATGGAACTTCAATATAGCAGCTCTAGGAAACTAACACAGGGCCTTTTTACTTTCAGGTATGGGATGGTTACTTTCATGTACCAACTTGCTGGGTCATGGGGTGCCCAGATATATGATTAAACACTATTTCTGGCTATGTCTGTGAGGGTGTTTCTGGATGAGATTAACATTTTAATCAGTCAACTGAGGAAAGCAGATTGCTTTCTTCAGTGTGGGTGGGCATCATCCAATCTGTTGAGGGTTTGAATAGAAGAAACAGGCTGAGAAAGGTTAAATTCGCTCTCTTTACCTGTTTGAATTGGGACATCAGTTTTCTCCTGCTTTCAAACTAGGACTTACACCATCAGCACTCCTAATTAATGGCTTTGACCTGAACTTACACCATTGGTTTCCTGGTTCTCAGGTCTTTGGTCTGAAGACTGGAATTACACCACCAGCATTCTAGGGTCCCCAGCTTGCAGATGGCAGATCGTGGGAGTTCCTGGCCTCCATAATTGTGTACGCCAATTCCTTATAATAAATCTGTATCTATATAGCTACCTCTCCACTCTATTGATTGTTTCTCTGGAGAACTTTGACTGTATTAGTTAATACAAGGTCCTACTGCTTTAGAATGGTCTTTCCCTAGATCTTTACATGAGTGCCTCCTATTCAAATGTTACCTTTCAGAGAAGTCTCCCCTAATTTTCTGAAATGATTTCCTCTCCCTGAGTTATTCTCTATTATCTCATTGAATTTTATATACAACACTTACCATCTAAAACAATTTTATTGGGTTACATGCTTACTCTCTATCTTCTCTATCACTCTTCCCACCAGCTCCAACCAGAAAAGAGAGTCCTTGAGGGCAGGAACTTATTCCAGTTGACCACTGTCCTTTCAGGGCCTAGAATAGTAGGTGGCACTTTGTAGGAACTCACATATTTGTTGACAGGCGATGGACTGCTTCCCTGTGTCCTAGGCAACAGAGTGCATTATCAAACTTTTTGATCTTTGTTAAATTTATAGGTAAAAAATGGTGCCTTATTTGTAGTTTTAACATACATGAGACTGAGTAATTTTTTATAGGTTTGGAAGCTATTCATATTTTCTGTTTTGTGAAATAAATATTCTGTTGCTTGCCTATTTTTCTAAAGGGTTATTGATCTTTTCTTCTTTATTTATTTGAAGGAGCTCTTTCCATACCAAGGAAATTAGTCCTCTGACATGGTTTGCAGATGTTTTCCCTTAATTTATAGCTTTGCTTAAGGTATTTTTTTGCAATGCAGAAAATGTTTGTATAGATGAGTTTACTGATTTTTCTTTATGGGTTCTTACTTTTATTCTCATGTGGCCTTTTCTCTTTTCTCAGTGGCTGAAAGATAACAAGACTGGAGTAATTCCCTTGGACCTAAAGATGGGCATCATATGGTGAAGATGGCAGAGCTGCTCTACCAGCCCTGGACCCCTTGGCTGTTACCCACGAGAGACATAAACTTCTGTCCTGTTTAAGTCATTGTATATTTGGGTATCTGCTTCAGCAGCTTATTGTATATGCTCTAACTAATACACCAAACCATCACAACCTGAGGAACTGGTTTATTTCAGATGAACAAGTCCTACCTTAAATTACAAAATAATTAGTTTTTTTGGTAATAGACTCAGTGTATTTATTTATTTATTTTAAAGATTTTATTTATTTGACAGAGAGGGACACAGCGAGAGAGGGAACACAAGCAGGGGGAGTGCGAGAGGGAGAAGCAGGCTTCCCGTGGAGCAGGGAGCCTGATGCGGGGCTCGATCCCAGGACCCTGTGATCATGACCTGAGCCGAAGGCAGACGCTTAACGACCGAGCCACCCAGGCACCCCGACTCAGTGTATTTAATTAGCAGTTATGCTTTACTCTAAACTGGTTATATGTTTTCTTTTATTAAAATTCAAAGACTGGTCATCTTTAGAAAATTATGACTAGAACTCCATTTAGTAAAGGTTTCAATATAAAAGCCACAGCAGCAATTAAAGTAGAAAGAGAAGGTAGGATGCTTTATTATATCAGTTAATCCTCAAAACTTCTAGAGAAAGCAACTATTATACTCTTAGCTTGGATGAAGAAACTGAGTTTTAGAAAGTCAGGAGAACTGCCTAAGGTCTTACAGTTAATAAGCAGCATATCTGGGACTCAAACATAGGTCACTATGATGACATACACACGTTCACTGCACTATCCTTCCTTTAGGGAAGATTTAATGCAATTATTATTTTTTTAAAGATTTTTAAAATTTATTTATTTGTCAGAGAGAGACACAATGAGAGAGAGAGAGAGCGCACAAGCAGGGGGAGTGGCAGGCAGAGGGAGAAGCAGGCTCCTCGCTGAGCAAGGAGCCTGATGCAGGACTCGATCCCAGGACCCTGGGATCATGACTTGAGCTGAAGGTAGACGCTTAACTGACTGAGTCACCCAGGTGTCCCCTTGATGCAATTATTGCTGCTCGAAGTTAGACTGTTTTAGAGGTCTATTTTCATTAAAGGCTTAAAACCTATAAAATGTATATATGTATTTATGTTATATCTTAGCTGAGTAGATGAATCAATATAACAAAATATAGCCACACACAACATAGTGCTATCCATTCACTCAAAAAGCAGAGAAAGAAAGTTAAAAATACAACTTCTTATCTGATAAAGAAGAACACAAGACTGGAATGGAAAAGAACAAGGCAAGGGACTCCTGCTTTTCATTTTAAGTCCTTCCCTTAATCTTTGAACATGTATATGTATTATATTGGTAATAAAAAAAAATGTATATAAGATAGAGGGGCGCCTGGATGGCTCAGTCGTTAAGCGTCTGCCTTTGGCTCAGGTAATGATCTCAGGATCCTGGGATCGAGCCCCGCGTCGGGCTCCCTGCTCAACGGGGAATATGCTTCTCCCTCTCCTTCTGCCTGCCGCTCCCCCTGCTTGTGCTCTCTCTCTCTCTGTGTCAAATAAATAAATAAAATCTTTAAAAAATGTATATAAGATGTAACATACAGGTTACATTTAAAGGCAACAGTTTCATTCACCTATAGTGGTGACAAATGGATTTCCTCTTTTTACCCCCCAAAAAGTAGGATCACGTATTTCTATATATATTAAGTTGATCACCTGAGATTACCATCTTTGTAGATTACTGGGAACATGCCTCAACCTAACGTGGAAAGGAAATGATATAAAAAACAAAACAGGGCCTTGGGATTAGAAAGATTCGTGTGAGTCCCCACTTTGCCATTTCCTAGCTATGTGAATTTGGGCAAGTGATAACTTCTCTAAACCTCAGTTTTCCTGAAATTGCCAAAAAATAACACCCATTTTCATGGTTGTTGTTAGACGTAATATATGTAAGGTCCCTAAAATAATGGCTAGCAATGAGAAATTTAATGAATGGCAGGATAAAGATAGATAGAGCCCCCCCCAAATAATACAAATAGGGTCAACACTTAAAGGTAGTGATAGTGAGATAAGGTCCTTGAGTAATAGTTTATGACTTCACATTTTCTTAAGTCCTATTTGTCACAGTAATTCAAATTATTGCTGCAAGTGTGAAGTGGCATTACATATAACACTTCTAATGATGAAGTAGAGCTAAATAAAGTGAGTCAGGGACTATGGAACTAATTACGGTTTCTGAAAGGGGAGACGTAATCAGCTACTTTTGTACCTTCCTCACAGATACTCTGTAGATACAAGGATCCAGGATGCCTGTGGTGGCACTTGCACTCATTTTGCACATAAATGAGAACTTCTTCCTCCAGTGAACACAGTTTGCTTGCACCACTTCCCTGAATGGGGGGGAAAAAAAAAAAAAAAGAAACAATTACTACTGATGACAGGTCAAAAAAGCATACACACTCTTTCACTCGGGTCTCTAATGCAGAAGTGATAGATTAAAAGCCAGTATTTGGAAACATGAAGAAAACAAACTTCTAACAATGTGGTCTGAAAATCTCTAGAAGCTTTTAATTATCCACAGAAACTTAAATTAAAAAAAAAAGTGAAATTACATATCAATTGAATCAACGTAAATCGAAGCTTCACTACTCATTTATTCAGCACATAATACATGTTTATTTTTGGTGTGTGGGTTGTGTGCTAGGTGTCCGAGATACGAAGACGAGGACGACGGTGTTCCTAACCTTGTAGGGCCTGTGGTTTAGTCAGTACCAGAGACAGAACTGTGAACAAATACGTGTTCTGAAATGGACTCCTGCTATTGCTCTACTCCTGTTCCCACCGTAACAGCAACAACAGCTGCCATTTGCTGTCAGCTTACCACATGCTGTTCAATCTCACAGCAACGCCAGGAGGTTTATAGATAAGAAAGATGAAGCGCAAGGAGAAAAGTTAACTCAAGGTCATTTAGGCAGGAAGTCGCGGCACTAGCTTTCAAACCAGGCCCGTTTAACTCAACAGCCTACTTGTCCATAGAGGAAAATCTGTATTTTCCCCACCACCTCTGCTCTTTCAAGCTTCCAGGCCTTTGTACCTGCTGTTCCCTCTACTGTTCTGTATAAGTGTAGGGGGCTTGGCCTTAAAACAGAAGGATAATTATTCCTCTAACATGGGAAGAAAAGAAAGACAATGGGTGAAAATAAAGAGAAAACTGGAGAAACCAAAAGGGAAAGGCAAGAAAGCCCAGGCTGAATAGTTTTTGATTTTCTTAGGAAAGTAAAAGGTGAGGTTCGTTCTTTTTTTTTTTTTTTTTAATATTTTATTTATTTGCCAGAGAGAGAGAGAGTGAGAGAGTGTGAGAGTACAAGCAGGGGGAGTGGCAGGCAGGGAGCCCCATGTGGGGCTCGATCCCAGGACTCTGGGATCATGACCCGAGCCGTAGGCAGATGCTCAACCGACTGAGCCAGCCCCTGTCATTCTATAGAAATAACCTCACCTTGGGATGCCTGGGTGGCTCAGTTGTTAAGCATCTGCCTTCGGCTCAGGTCATGATCCCAGGGTCCTGGGATCGAGCCCCACATGGGGCTCCCTGCTCAGCGGGGAGCCTGCTTCTCCCTCTCCTACTCCCTCTGCTTGTGTTCCCTCTCTTGCTGTGTTTCTCTCTGTCAAATAAATAAATAAAATCTTAAAAAAAAAAAAAAAAGATTTATTTCAGAGAGAGAACATGTTGGGGGGGAGGAGGGGTAGAGGGAGAAAATCTCAAGCAGACTCCCAGCTAAGTGTGGAGCCCCTCCTGGGCTAGAACCCATGAGATCACGACCTGAGCCAAAATCAAGAGATGGAAGCTCAATGAACTGAGCCACCCAGGCACCCCTAGAATGTATGTGTTCTTAGAGGAGTTTCCTGGAAATCCAGCAGGAGTGCAATTTATTTGTATGGTCACAACACAGGCAGAATGAGTTCTTTGGCAAAGAATGGATCTGGAGGTATTTATCAGGCAACATGAGGCATCCCCAGCAAGATAGGCACGAGCTAACATGCATACTTAAAAATAAATGAATTTTTGAAAAAAACAGTGAATAATAATGAAAATAACAAAGAGGAAAAAATAAAATTAGAATTTTTTAAAATGTTTCCCTATCAACATCTCAGGGCCTCAAGACTTGATGGAGGCATCAGTCATGGCCTCTGGAGCTCCTAAAAAGGGTGTGCAAGTATACTGAAGGGCTACCCTTCAGGAGCACCCTGTGCTTCCAAGCACTTCGTTGTTTCTGTCACTGAGATCACTGACCTTTGATCAGGAATCAGACATTTAAAACAAAAACAAAACCCAAAAAAACCCCTATATTTTACTTCAAAAAAAATTACATAAAAACTTCTAGTTAAAGAATGCAGGTTGAGAGCATGTATTAACTTACCTCTGCTCTCCCAAACATTCTATTTAATTTTTAAGGCATCATCTAGCAAGGACAAAGAGAACCAGAGAGGAGACAAAAATAAATGGCCAGGGATTAACTAGTGATAATGATTTAGCAAATCAAAGAAAGCTGAACATTAAGCTGGTAATGGTGAAAGCCAAGAGCAGGTATCTTAAATTAGCATTAAGTGGAACAAAGGAGGGACAAATGGCAGAAGAACTGATTGAAAACTCTTTTAGAAAGAGGCCCTCAGATCTTCCTGACTCCTGCAGAAGATTTATTCTCCTGATGAGGTACAACAGAGGGATCTCTGTGTTACATGACCTGAGGGCAGGTATTGAAAATAGAATGACCATACTGGGTGGGGGGCAGGGTGGACCCAGGGTGAAAGATGGACTTATTGAATGCTAAGACTTCCAACCTTCTTCCCCTAATCTGGCTTCTCAGGATATATTCTTTAAGAAGACGTAAGAAGAACATTCTCTGCGGAATTCAACCAGACCCCCCAAAAAAGCTCTAATGAGATGAATGTTGGAGGTTACAAAATGACTCTGCCAGCTCAATCTACAGTAAAAACCTGAATCAATGAACACTCTCTACATGCACAAAGCCTCTAAGCAACTTTAACTGCCTCACAGTTAAATATGAGCAAACACTTGAAGAATGTCTCTTAATATGAACAAACTGAGACCAGAATGAATAGCAAAAAGGCAAATTTTAAAAAACAGAGTCTATGCTGGAAGAAGAAAAAAAGATTCTCAGAGAGACAGAAATTGCATCTACCATAAAGGAATAGGATGCTATAAAACAGAACATATAAGGAACTAAAAAGTACTCACAGAAATAAAAAAAACATGGGCTTGATATTCTTATTTTTTTAAAGATTTTATCCATTTATTTGAGAGAGAGAGACACAGAGCAAGAGCGAGCACAAGCAGGGGGAGCTGCAAAGGGAGAGGGAGAAACAGGCTCCCCATTGAGCAGGGGGCCTGATGCGGGGCTCAATCCCAGGACCCTGGGATCATGACCCGAGCTGAAGCCACCCAGGTGCCCCAAGAGTTGACTTTTTGAAAAAAAATAAACAAAATCAAGGAATTCATAGCTAGCCTAAGAAAAAAAGAGTGAAGACCATAAGAAATGAAAAAAGAGACACGGGGCGCCTGGGTGGCTCAGATGGTTAAGCGACTGCCTTCGGCTCAGGTCATGATCCTGGAGTCCTGGGATCGGGTCCCTTATTGGGCTCCCTGATCAGCAGGGAGTCTGCTTCTCCTTCTGACCCTCCCCCCTCTCATGCTCTCTCTATCTCATTTTCTCTTCAAATAAATAAATAAAATCTTTAAAAAAAGGAAAAAAGAGACATTTAAAACAGATGCTTCAGAAATAAAAAGAATCATAAGGGATTATTATTAAGTTATATGCTAACAAACTAGATAATCTAGAAGAAATCAATAAATTCCTAGAAACATACAACTTGCTAAAACTGAATCAAGAAGAAACAGAAAACTTGAACAGATCAAAAACAAATAAGGAGACTGAATCAATAATCAAAAACTTTTGAACAACCACCCCCACAAAAAGCCCGGGACCAGATAGTTCTTAGGAGAATTCTATCAAACACTCAAAGGAAAATTTTTACCAATCCTTCTTAAACTCTTCCAAAAGATAGGGGAGTCTGCTTCTCCCTCTGTCTGCCACTCTCCCTGCTTGTTCTCTCTCTCTCCTTCTCTCTGTCAAATAAAAAAATTAAATCTTAAAAAAAAAAAACCACATGATCATCTGAATAGATTAAATTTGGCACGCTTTTTCTGCAGCATCCACTCATGATAAAGACTTTCAACAAAATTGGTATAGCAGCAACTTACCTCAATACAGTAAAGACCATATATTAAAAGCCCACAGCTAACATCATAATCAGTAAGGAAAACCTGAAAGCTCTTCCTCTAAGATCTAGTGCAATACAAGGATGCCCTCTCTCACCCCACTTCTGGAATATAGTACTGGAAATCCTAGCCAGAGCAATTAGTCAAGAAAAGAAATAAAAGCATCCAAATCAGAAAGAAAGAAGTAACATTAGCTCTATTTGCAGACAATATGATCATATATATATAAAGCCCTAAAGACCACCCCCCCAAAAAAACTGTCAGAATAAACAGATTCAGTAAATTGCAGGATACAAAATCAAAATAAGAAAAAAAAATCTGTGGTGTTTCTATACATGAACAATGAACTACCTGAAAAAGAAATTAAGGAAACAATCCCATTCACAATAGCAACAAAAAGAATAAAATACCTAGAAATAAATTTAATCAAAGAGGTGAAAGACTTGTACACTGAAAACTATAAAACACTGATGAAGGAAAGTAATGAAGATACAAACAAATGGGAAGGCATCCTATGGATTGGAAGAATTAATATTGTTAAAAGGTCCATACTACCCAAAGTGATATAGAGATTTAATTCAATCCCTATCAAAATCCCAATGGGATTCTTTACAGAACTAGAAAAAAACAATCCCAAAATTCCTGTGTAACCACGAAGACCCCAAAGCAATCTTGAGAAAGAAGAACAAGGCTGGAGGCATCACACTTTCTGATTTCAGAATGTATTACAAAGTCACAGCAATAAAAACAGTATGGTATTGGGAAAAAAACCCCTCAGAAATATAGACCAGTGAAACAGAATAGAGAGCTCAGGAATAATTCCACCCACTTACACTCAACTGATCTTTGATTAAGAGTGCCAAGAAAACATAATGGAAAAAGGACAGTGGTGCTAGGAAAACTGGTTATTCACAATAGAAGAATGAAATTGGACTCATACTATATACAGAAATCAACACAAAATGGATTTAAAAACTTACACATTAAGACCTAAAACAGTAAAACTACTAGAAAAAAATAGAGAAAAAGCTTCTTGACATTGGTCTGGGCAATGATTTTTTTTGGGTATAACACCAAAAGCACAGGCAAAAG